GTAGACCATTCGTCCCCCCACAGGATGGCTGCTGCGATGATAGGGTAGAATTTGAAGAGGGCTGAAAAACATTGGTCTTTGGAATGGAATTACAATTGGGTTGGCCATGTTGAGACAAACCAGTGTCCTTTATATTAGCCACTGTAACCTATTGGAGGGGCAGCGTCTGTGTATGTGTTGATGTCAATAGGGGATGCAATCAAGTCGCTGTAGAAAAAGGAACAGCCGTTCCATTGCTTAAGGAAAGTGATCCATAAGCAAAGTTCATCGCGACTGGGTTTGGAGAGAAAAATTGTTTCTTCTAAACCATGAACTGTGGTGGATAATTGAAGGAGGTGGGAAATGAAAGGAATAATGCGCATAGCGAAATTTAGATGGCCGAGAATTGGTAGGAGTTCTCGTTGTGTGCACATCTGTTTTTCAAGGAAAATTTGGGATAGAGAAATTATTCGATTGATTTTCTCTTTAGGAAGGGATGCTTGGAATTTATGCGAGTCTAGATTAATACCCAGAAATTCGATTGAAGTACTGGGTCCTTCCGAGATCAGCGAAAACCTGCTGGGTGATCGCTAGGTGTTTGGCTGGAGGAGATGACGGGGGGGGGAAATAAGAAAATCGTCTAGAAGGTGAATGAGGTATGGTATTTCGTAAATATTAGACAGAATCCAGCATAAAGCTTCTGACATCATGTCAAATATTTTTTGGGCTGCTTTTGCATCCGAAAAATAGAATTGATTTCGCCAATAAATGCCAAAAGGTGCCAGAAGTCTGGGTGGATTGGCATGATTTTAAAGGTAGGGGAAATGTCTTCTTTGGCTAGCCAGGTGTTACGACTGGCTATCTTTATGAGAGAGATCTCTTGATCAATGTCGTGGTAGTTAATTAAATATTCGTCCAATGGGATAGTGCTGTTAATGCTAGGAAAGGAGCAATTGTGTTGGGACGAAAGGTCGACTACAAGGCGTTTTTGCCAGAACATTTTTGAGTAGCGACACCAATGGGGCTAATGCGCGAGATATTAAAAGGAGGAGCCTTGGAGTTCCAATCATGAAGTTGTTGTCGATTTCTTTTTAATAAGATAATCGACGGTTTCAGGTTCGGAGGTTGCAGACTGCAGGTTAGGACAGATTGGATAAAGTGAAAAATGGAATGTATCCTTTGTGAAGAGGATGTGGAGTGTAATAGGTTGGATGAGGGTCAGCTTCTGGAGCCAGCAGTCATGATCTCTAAAATAGAAAAAACAAAGAGAATCAGAAATTAAATCTTTGCAAAATAATACAAGTATGGCAGACATGAAAATTGTTTTAGTTTATATCCATGCGAGGCATCTTAATAAGGGCATGGGCGGCTGTAAATGGAAGCGCTTTTGATAATGCATGGTCCGATGACTTCATTGATACGATGTGCAAGGATGGTAGGGGTGGGTGTTCGTCTCCTAACGGGATGACAGATGAATGGAGAGCTGAGGACATGGGATATGGCTAGTCTGGTGGTCCTGGAAAACTGGTACCCCTTGAAGACTGAGCATGTGAAGTGATAGTGAAGTTTAAATTTGTATTTATAACAGTCAAGTGGGAAGTTTGTTTCTTTGCCGTTTTCACATCCGACTGACTTGCTATATAATCTTATATGACGCTTGTAAATCAACACATGAGTCGCTGGCGTATTACAATTGGACTTCTGTGCTTGATGGCATAATGTTTTTCAATAGCTTGTTAATATTTACTGGTTGGGTAATAATCTTTTCAGAAGTTAAATGTCAAATGGAATTTTATTTTTTATTTTATTATTATTATTATTATTTTTTTTTTTTTTTTTAACTAAATTTACAAGCGTGTCTGGCCTATTCATTCATAAGGTCTTTGCAACAGAGTAAAGAGAGAGGGCGGGACCATCTCCAGTCTTTTAGCTCATTGGATGGAGACGCTTATCTTTACAGCTATTGGCTTAAGGAGTTTCAGTCAGGCCATGCAAAAGGTGCAAAAAGCCTGGCGGCCATTTTGTTGATCAAATTCAACATTGTTTGTGGCTGGAGCTGCTGCTCTGCTGAACACGTTCCAGCAAACAATCTGTTAAACGATGGATAGCATGTGTACTGCTAGGAGAAGGTGAGGGTTCCGTTTTATTGCAATAGCTTTGGAGTTTGGCTTATATCTTGCTGGGAAATAAGGTTGAAGACACAGCAGATGCGTTGTGGAGGCTCTTTGAAGTGGAAGGTTTTGGTGTTGTTGTTTAAGCTGTTGATGAAATTGTTGGAGTTGTAGTTGTTTGAAATGGTAGCAATAGTAGTTGTTGTTGTTGTTGCTGTAGCTTGTATATTGTAGCTTGTAGATTGAAGCTTTTAGATTGTATATTGTAGATTGTAGCTTGAAGCTTTTGTAGCTTGTAGCACTTGTAGCTTTTGTAGTTGATGAGCAGAGCAGAGCGTTCTTCCAAATGAAGATCCTGAAGATTGTAGCTTGTTGCTGCTTTAGTTGTCCATGCTGGTTTAGAGTTGGTTCTTCAACGGAGCTAGCTACGGTGAAGCTGCTTCTTCCAAACGAAGATAAAGTGAACTGAAAACTTAGACTATTTATGGTGCCTTAGGGCTCATATGATTGGAAGATTAGTGATTAGCAAATGCGAGACTGGACGTGATAAATCATAAGCACGTGATCCTCTCGAAATTAGTTTATGAATAAACTTCACTTAATCTGAAGTCGCCACAGCGGGATGAACCGCCAATTTATTCAGCATATGCAGCAGATGCCCTTCCAGCCACAACGCATCACTGCAAAACACCCATACATTCCCATTCACTACGGAGAATTTAGCCTACCCAATTCACCTACAGCACATGTCATTGGACTTGTGGGGGAAATCGGAGCACCTGGAGGAAACCCACGCAAAAACGGGGAGAACATTCTTGCTGTGAAGTGACAGCGCCACCCACTGCGTACAGGTGAAATGCTAAATTGTCTGTAGTGTATAAATGCAAGAGTGTATGGGTGTTTCCCAGTGATGGGTTGCAGCTGGAAGGGCATCCACTGCTTAAAATATAAGCTGGATAAGTTGGCGGTTCATTCCGCTGTGCTACAGAATTACAGAAACAGGACAAAAAAAACTAGATAATAAATATATTTTAAGAAAAGGAGTAAGTAGTGAATGCAAATATACAAACTGACAAGTGTATGTGCAGGTATATCTATACACAACATTATATGTGCAGGTGTTATAAGCAAGTTGGCATGTAAAGTATGTTGTTAAAGAAATTAAAAGTGTATAAAATGTAGTGATGGTTGTTTCACAGTTACTTTCATAAAGTGTTCATGAGATGTATTGAGGGAAGAAACTGTTTCTGTGTTTAGCTTTTATGGTGCACAGTGCTCTGTAGCGTCGACCAGAAGGTAAAAGCTCAAAGAGGCAGTGTGCTGGGTGTGAGGGGTCCAGAGTAATTTTGGCAGCTCTCTCGCTCTGGATAAGTACAGTTCTTGGAGAGTAGGGAGGGTTGTATTAGTGATTCGCTCAGCAGTCCGAACTCTTTGTCGTAGTCTTCAGAGGTCAGATTTGGTAGCTGAGCTAAGTCAGACAGTTATTAATGTGCAGTGCAGCTGTTTGAGCAGCTCCTATAGAAGGTTGAACCTCATTTCATTTACAAATTCAAACAGTACTGCAATATGATACATAAATGTAAATCAAAAAAGCGCTCAAGACCTCTAATATAATCTGTAAATTTAAGATTGACAAGTAAACTACCATCATTAGTGTGTGTGAATAAAGAGAGAGTGTATGGGTGTTTCCCAGCACGGTGCTGGTTTGCAGCTGGAAGAGCTAGAATGCTAAAAACTCCACCACATGTATGCTTGTACATCAAACATTCAGCTCAATAACATTAAGCACAACTAATCTTTGTTAAATCTACAAATGTTGTCTTTTTTTGGGCCTGACTGATCTCTCTTGGAATGTTTTCACAGTAATCAACCTTAAAAAAAAACAGAATAAACACATCTTTTGTAAAAATGTGACTTTATTTCAACATTTAGTACAAAATTCATAATAATTATCATCAGTTGTGAGGCTTGTCGCCCCGGCCTGATGTCAGTTTGTGTCCGTGTTCAGCTCAGCACCATCTTTACGATGGGCAGTTTCCAGTGGCACCACGTGGAGGAACGGACCTCGCCACCTATATATACAGGGTTTGGATTATCACTCACCATAAAATAACCTATATCACCTACATATAAGACCACTAGTCAATAAATGATGATTAATGATTAGACTAAAGATGGTTACTAAAGCTGATGAGAAGTATATTAAAGCAAACACTAAAGATTGTAACTTTATTCATCTTCAGAACACAAATTAAGATATTTTAATGAAAATAATGAAGATATTTTAGTGAAATCTGAGAGTTTCTTAATCCTCCATAGACAGCAAGGTTCCTGACTATGAGAATATGTTTATGTGTACATAAGACAAACATAACTTTATTCAACAATTTCGTTTCTCAGTGTCAGTATAGGGCTCGTTTTCAAGTGTCACACCTCTGACATGTAACCTTGAATGCATCTGTGCATTTTTTTTTAACACAGGAAGTCGCACGTGGGAATATGTCACTGCACAGTACTTGTGAACGAGTGCCCTATACTGACACTGAGGAGAAGAAACTGAATACAAATGTTTGTTTTATGTGAAGACGTATGGTCTGTCTTGAGGATGTTTGAGTCAAACTTTGAGTCTGGATTAAAATAGTTCTGAAGATGAACATGAGGACGAGTAATAAATAACATAACTTCAATTATTGGGTGAACTTTTTAATTGTTTTATTTATTTATCAATGATTTTTCATTGTTTCTAAAATAATTTTGATTGGTCAATAACATGGCCAGTTATCGATTTATATTTCAATATAGACGGTTTTGTAGTTGTTTTATTTTATTTCTTATATTGTTTTATATTAATGAATTTTTTTATTTCATTATTACATTTTTAACATTTTGTTTTCTAGTTTTGTGGCCAAATTGGATGGTGAGTGATAATGTTAATTGTAAACCCTGTATATATATCAGTTGTTCCCAGTAATCATTGGTCCAGAAGTCTCTCTGATCCGTCTCAAATAAAATTTTCACAGAGACACATAAAAATATATGGACCTGGATTGGGAACGACTGAGATATATCTTTTTATTTATTTTTTTATTATAGATTTTATTTTAGCATGTAAAAGTGCAAGAATTAGTGCAAAAGCTGGTGTTAAAGTGCAGGAAGAGGCACATACACTATATAAAGGTCCAAATTGTTAAGTGCTTTATCATTTCTTTTTTTTATTTACAAGGAATTTAATTGGAGGTTATGGGGTGATTGGAATGACTAGATCCATCCGTTAAATTAGGACAGTTCTCCTCATTCCTCCTTGTTTTCGTCTGAAACATAAACAGAGACAATTTTAAAGCATGAATAGATGAAACAAATAACATGTAAAATGGAAGAACATAAGATTTTGTTTGGTTTCCATTTGTCTGTGTTGAAATGAGTAAGAGAAGTGGTGCTTATGCAAAAAATGGGAGATGGAAACACTAATTTGCTGAATAAACTCTAACTTGGGGGTGATCTGCTCTAACAACTTGATGGAAATGCACCTAACTAACGTCATGTTAAGATGAAAATCTGCCTTATGACAGTGTAAGATGGCTAATGTCAAATGAAATCTGCCTTATGACAGTGTAAGATGGCTAATGTCAAATGAAAGCTGGCTTATGACAGTGTAAGATGGCTAATGTCAAATGAAAGCTGGCTTATGACAGTGTAAGATGGCTAATGTCAAATGAAAGCTGGCTTATGACAGTGTAAGATGGCTAATGTCAAATGAAAGCTGGCTTATGACAGTGTAAGATGGCTAATGTCAAATGAAAGCTGGCTTATGACAGTGTAAGATGGCTAATGTCAAAATGTATTCGATACCCTAATCCACTTATGGGAACTGAGGTTCTGCAGTTCAAGCCGATCCTTTGGGTCCAACTGCAGACAGCCGTGGAAGAAATCGCAGCAGTCTATGCAGAAAGAAGAAAGAGTTTATACATGCTTGTTTAAATGACATTCAAATTATCCTATACAATCATCTTTAACCTAAGTGAAGATCTCACCTCTTGACAAGCCTTTAATCCTCAACCTTCTGTTGTTCATTCTAGGCAAGTCACTTTGTTCTGGAAATCTGTAGAAAACTAGCAGAAACAGAACAACTCCAAGTGACCAGACTGTCGCTGGTTCCCCGTGGTATCTTCCAGTTGATGAAAACTCGGGAGGGAAGTACTCTCTGGTGCCTGAAAGAGAATTTGTTTCCACCAACAGTATAGATAAACAACAGCGAATGTTTCACAGAAAAAAATAAATCAGCAGAGTTTAAGACCCTTCTTACAGCTTTGAAGGATGAACATACCTCTAAAGTATTGGAAACTGTCCTCAGTAAGAAGATCGCCGCACCCGAAGTCAATCAGTTTGACCTCAAGGGTGTCCGGGTTAATCAGCAAGTTCTCCAGCTTGATATCACGATGAAGAACTCCACGCTGGCAGCATGTTTGGGCTGCAACTGTTGTCTGGTACATGATTGTTCGTAGCTTGTTCTCTGGAATGATGCCTTCGCAGTCGAGAAGGAATTCATGCAAGCTCATGCAGGGTATGGGCTGCTCTAGCACCATGAAGTACCTATCAGCCTCCACCTTCCAGTCCAAAAGCTCGATGATTTCCTTAACCTTGGGGCCTTTATTGGCAAGAAAGTGCAGAGCGATCTCCAGTGGAAGTGGATCTTCAAACCCATCCTACAAGAAAGACAGTTGTGAAGATCATTTGATAGAAAAGGTATTTTCAATAAACAAGTCCTGGACAAACTGTTGGCAATGTCTATCACAAAAAGCATTTGTAGTCTACGATTAATATGACAAGAAGACAGTAAACGAGAGCAGACTACTTACAACACTGATGAATCGCTTCTCCTCCTCGAAATCGGACAATTTTACTGCCACCTGAAGGCCATCTTCTAAACGAGTGGCTGAGAAAACGGCTCCACAGCCTCCTTCACCCAGCTGAGCTTCAATTGCATAGCAGTGGGAATTGATCTCTGTGAAAAGACAAAGAAGAGATGAGAAATCATCAGTGGTACAGTACCTTCATCTAAAACCTTTCCTCTTTCATATATAAATTGAGATACTACACTGAATATCTGTCCCTTAAAAGTTTATCTGATGGTAAATAAACAAATGAGTGTAAAATATTCAGTCTCACCTTTAAGGTTTAGTTCACCCAACAATAAACATTTACTCTCTATTTACTCAACCTCTAGTGTTTTCAAACATTTGTGAGTTTCCTTTGTTAAATGAAGAAATTTAGAAGAAAACTGAAAACCTGTAACAACCGTCTTCCACAGTAGGAAAACACATTCTATGACAATCAATAGTTACAGGTTTCAAGCTTTCCTCAAATATTATTTTTTTATTTTCAACAGGAAAAAGATTCTCAGACAGGTTTGGAACAAGTAAAGGGTGAGCAAATGATGACAGAAGTTCCAGTTTTGGGTGAACTATCCCTTAAATATGAATACGATATATAATAAATCTTCACAAATAGATGCATTTTCAGCTATTCCTGACAAAATGCATATTAAAGTCTGTTTAAAGCATAAACCATTGTTAAAATATGCATGTGTGTTGGATAACTGTAGGGTCGAGGTAGTAAACTCACCAATGATTTGTGTCTCTTTGTCCTCCATCAATTTCTCAGGTTCAGCAGAGTCAACAAATAGGGGTTCATCATCACCACAGCCAGACTCAGCAGTTAAGAAGCCTGAAGAGAGATCATCACTCCAGCTCGACTCAACAGTTAAGAAGCTTGAAGAGAGATCTTCACTCCAGCTTGACTCAGCAGAGAAGAAGCTGAGATCCAGTGATGGTTCCTCCAGTGATGGTTCCTCACTGTGAACACTGACAGGCTCCTCCAGTGATGGTTCCTCACTGTGAACACTGACAGGCTCCTCCAGCGATGGTTCCTCACTGTGAACACTGACAGGCTCCTCCAGCGATGGTTCCTCACTGTGAACACTGACAGGCTCCTCCAGCGATGGTTCCTCACTGTGAACACTGACAGGCTCCTCCAGCGATGGTTCCTCACTGTGAACACTGACAGGCTCCTCCAGCGATGGTTCCTCACTGTGAACACTGACAGGCTCCTCCAGCGATGGTTCCTCACTGTGAACACTGACAGGCTCTACCAGCGATGGTTCCTCACTGTGAACACTGACAGGCTCCTCCAGCGATGGTTCCTCACTGTGAACACTGACAGGCTCTACCAGCGATGGTTCCTCACTGTGAACACTGACAGGCTCCTCCAGCGATGGTTCCTCACTGTGAACACTGACAGGCTCCTCCAGCGATGGTTCGTCACTGTGAACACTGACAGGCTCCTCCAGCGATGGTTCCTCACTGTGAACACTGACAGGCTCTAACAGTGATGGCTCTTTACACCAGTCATCGATTTCTCGACCTAAAGAAAGGATTATTATATAAAAGATTTTAGTTTTATTCAAATAATATTTATTTGTAGTTATTAAGCATATTAATGAATGCTGTAAATTATAAAGTGACTTTGACAGTGGTGTCAAACTCAAATGACATTGATTGAAGGTTTTAATATTATTTTAATATTATTATTTATTTTAGGTCATTTACATGAATAGCAATATTTGTACGATATTTCGAGTGTGTTTTGTGCTTGTACTTTGGCTGGTTTCGGCCTGTCATGGATTGACCTAAATAAAAATCACACTTAAAACCTCCAGCAGATGGAGACGAGTCCTAAAGTGTAGTTTATTCACTCATTAATTGTACACCTCTTTTACAATATCATGCCATTCTTTTTAATGGCCTTTTTGCTAGTTGTTAGTAGTGTATTAAGAAGATACGCAACATTTTAAAGTATTTTTGAAGAGTAAATTACCAGGTACAGTTTTAAAATTACATTCCAGATTCAATCCCATTATTGCATTTATCTCTTTATTCAAATCTTGCCAATAGGTGTGTATAGTATTACAATCCCAAAATATGTGAAATGATCAGCCAAAACAATTCCACAATTTCTCCAGCATTCATCATGTTTTGATCAAGAACACAAATTAAGATGTACTACAAATGGAACCTGAAAAAGTGTTGATATTAGAAATGTACCGAATTTTCAGCCACTGAACATTTGTCAGCTGAAAATATGTTATGCCCTTTAATGGACCCTTTACTTTTTGTGGATTCAGTCATTGTTGGGTTACTCTTTCAAATCTGGAAGCATTAACAAGTTGTAAGCAATTCCATGCATATGTTTTTACCAAAATAGTGAAACTTTTTTTGAGTAGGCTTGTAATTTAATGAACTATAAAACTACTCAAAATGTCTCTGTCAATGTTGTCAAACAATTATATTTAATTTACCAAAGTCAAACAAGTGGCAATTTCTCATTTGTCACATTGTCACTACTGATTAAATTATTTCTTTTAGGCTGTGCAGTTTAATTCACAGAATTTCTACAAAGTATGCCGTATACTGTAAACTCACCAACCTTTTTTGATCAAATCCACAATGTGTTCTTAATTTTCTCATTTAAAGTATACAAAATGTTTACAGACTGATATTTTTTTGATTCCTTAACTCTGTCTTTAGCTGTTTCGGAAAATATAAACAGATGTTCAAATATAATGTGAACATATACCTTATCTGTGAATTAATTTTTTTGAGTTTTTACTGAAATGACACATCCATAATTCTGGAATTGCTCTTATATCAAATATATATATCACTATTGCTCAATATAGATAATAATTATTGAGATAGCATTTTTGCCAAATCGCCCTGCCCTACATTTTACTACCTTTCATGTCTTTGACTGAGCAGTCTCTTGCTGTGTATGGCGGATGAGGAAGCTCTCTGATTTCACATAAAGTACCCTAATTTGTTACTTAAGGTCTCAGGAATTAGGTTTTAATTTTTGAGCGAACTAAACCTTTCATTTTAAAGCAAAGAAAATTACTTTATGAAAAACGAATAGACTCCTTTCTATGGTGAATGTTTGACACCGCTGTGTTTAAACCAATAGAATTGTATTAAAACCAATTAACCATATTCACTGTGTTTTGTAATGTTTTCTCCCAGTAAGGTAAAATTAATCGTAGAGCTCTACACAGACTCCAGGTAAGAAAATAAAGCACTTGTGTTACATAAAATGGACATATCGTTTACCGTCACTGTTCCTCACAGGTGGTACATCATTCTGGACCTCTTCTTCAGTGTTGTTGGTGTCTCTTTCTCTCAGAAAGAGAGCAATTACTCCGAGCACGGTAAATAACATTTTTGGTTAAACTTGCGTACACTTATAGATGAGAAAATCCAAATAAACTTACAATAAACACTGAAATGTTCTGAAAGTAAAGCTAGTTTATCAAAGTGATCCTCAATAAACCGTACGCTATCAATTGACAGTATTAGCAGAGCAAACTTTGTACAGCTTCTAGCTTTGTGTCAAATAAACGCAATGAGCAAATTTTTCACCGAGAGAGCTCTTTTGCTGTTGCGTCACGATCGAACCCGCGTTCCAACGTTCTACTACTGGTACGTGATTGGTCAGTTTTGTGACGTGGTCGGAGCTTTCGCTTAACCGAAGAAAAACAACATTAGCGTTTCCTTCACGGCTGTTTTTAGAGCAAAATAAAATTTGTAAACATTTCCCGTTTGAAGAGTCTTTACTGTCTGCTTTGTGAGCCAGTGTTTATTTTAAATCAGGGTCAATTTAAACCGTTCACAGGTAAGATATGTCTAGCATTCGTTTCTTACTTTAAATGGAAGTTGTTGGCTGTAAGCGCTTGTTTACACATTAAAACGCGAGATATGATATTGAATATCACATTAAATCATTTGATCTAACTTATCAAACCCCATTTACACTGCAAATTCAGTTGCAAGTAACGTACGGTTAACGATAATGCTGAGATGGAGGCATGTATATTAATGAGCCAATAATCAGATTCATTCAGTAATAAAATTAGCTTTGTCTAAATCTGATTATTCATTAACTCATTTCACTAACGCTTGTTCCAGCAAATAGTAAACCAAAATGTGCAAATTCAGTCACAGACTTTTCCCTTCACTTTCTGTCTGGCTTTATAAATTACTTCTTTATTATTAGTTTGTTCTGATATTTGATAACAAAGATACCAGCTTGTTGTTTTTCATTAAACATAATGATAAAATAAAAGGACTAATTTGATGTATTTATTTGTAAAAGCATACAGGTATTGCATTATTAACGAAAATATATAAATAACTATTAATAATAATCTACACAGGTGTTTAAATGACTCTTAATCTTAAGGTATGTTGTAAAATGTGAATAAATTAATGGACATGGACATGGACATGGAGAATGTGATGTGAAAGAGAGAAGAACAAACCCCCATATAGTATAGTAAATATGTAGTAAAGTATGTAGTGGATTTTTGTAAGGTTGTTAATGGCTGTTTTTGAATATTTACTGCAGGGATCATGACATGTTGTTTTAGTTGATTACAAAATAATTTTTTGGCTCTAAACAGACAGTGCCCAGCTTAAATGAGCTTTTTGAAAATTATGGATTTAAATTTTTCTGATTAAATGGCAATATGTATTGCAGAAATTTTATTAACACGCTTATTAAACAGTTAATGTAAGAGCATGCTCATTATCATAAGTACTAAGTAATCATTAGTACTTGCTACAATAAATACTACTTAGTTGATCAAAAAGACCCAATGGAAATGAGTAGCAAAACTTTAGGTTTGTTACTAGTAGCAATAGAATAAAATAGAATTTAATTTAAATCTGTTTCTAGTACCAGTAAAATAGTAACTGCTTTGTTGTTTCTAGTTACAAATTTAAGATTTTTGCCGCTGATTTCCATGAGGATCTGTCTTTGTGATCAACTAATCAGATTTGACTAGTGTTTCAATTCCAGTTCTGACTGGAACATATATATATATATATATATATATATATATATAGCATTATTCATTAATTACTAATCATTTTAGTAGTAGTTTTAAATTGAAGTACTAGTACTTTTGGTGATTACTAGTATCTTATATTAGATACCCTATCAGTATTAAAAATAAGTACTAGCAGTTCATAAAAAAAATAATAATCAATAAAAAAAATTCTTTGTAATAAATAATTATTTGTATCTGTTTAACAGGTTCTAATACGAAAAGAATATGTACCATATGCCTAATAATCTAATAAGAACTATTAACTATTGCTGGGTTTTTCAATCCTGATCCTGGGGACACACTACTCTACACTTAGGAGTTTTTTTAATTATAATAAAATGAAACGGGGACACACTGGCTCAATGGTTAGCACTGTGGCCTCACAGCAAGAAGGTCGCTGGTTTGAGTCCCGGCTGGGTCTGTGTAGAGTTATGTTCTGTATATGACATGTGATATAGGTGAATTAAATAAACTAAATTGGCCATAATGTATGAGTGTGTGTGTATGGATGTTTCCCAGTACTGGGTTGCAGCTGTAAGGGCATCTGCATAAAACATATGCTGGATAAGTTGGCGGTTCATTCTGCTGTGGCGACCACTGATAAAAAAAGGACGAAGCAGAAAGAAAATGAATGAATGAAAATAAACATTACATGCCAGGGAAGACAGAAATGCAGCTTTTTTATTGTAAGATTCAGAAATCAAATACATATAAAGATTTAGATCTTCAAGACAAATCTGAAATAAAGGTTTACGCTTACAAAATTTACACTTGTGCATAAAATGTTGAGCCAAAAATAGAAGATCAAATAAGACCATTCATTCATTTACTTTCTTTTCAGCTTAGTCCCTTTATTAATCTGAAGTCGCCACAGCGGGATGAACCGCCAATTTATTCAGCATATGCAGCAGATGCCCTTCCAGCCACAACGCATCACTGCAAAACACCCATACATTCCCATTCACTACGGAAAATTTAGCCTACCCAATTCACCTACAGCACATGTCATTGGACTTGTGGGGGAAATCGGAGCACCTGGAGGAAACCCACGCAAAAACGGGGAGAACATTCTTGCTTTGAAGTGACAGCGCCACCCACTGCGTACAGGTGAAATGGGTATGCTAAATTGTCTGTAGTGTATAAATGCAAGAGTGTATGGGTGTTTCCCAGTGATGGGTTGCAGCTGGAAGGGCATCCACTGCTTAAAATATAAGCTGGATAAGTTGGCGGTTCATTCCGCTGTGCTACAGAATTACAGAAACAGGACAAAAAAAACTAGATAATAAATATATTTTAAGAAAAGGAGTAAGTAGTGAATGCAAATATACAAACTGACAAGTGTATGTGCAGGTATATCTATACACAACATTATATGTGCAGGTGTTATAAGCAAGTTGGCATGTAAAGTATGTTGTTAAAGAAATTAAAAGTGTATAAAATGTAGTGATGGTTGTTTCACAGTTACTTTCATAAAGTGTTCATGAGATGTATTGAGGGAAGAAACTGTTTCTGTGTTTAGCTTTTATGGTGCACAGTGCTCTGTAGCGTCGACCAGAAGGTAAAAGCTCAAAGAGGCAGTGTGCTGGGTGTGAGGGGTCCAGAGTAATTTTGGCAGCTCTCTCGCTCTGGATAAGTACAGTTCTTGGAGAGTAGGGAGGGTTGTATTAGTGATTCGCTCAGCAGTCCGAACTCTTTGTCGTAGTCTTCAGAGGTCAGATTTGGTAGATGAGCTAAGCCAGACAGTTATTAATGTGCAGTGCAGCTGTTTGAGCAGCTCCTATAGAAGGTTGAACGTCATTTCATTTACAAATTCAAACAGTACTGCAATATGATACATAAATGTAAATCAAAAAAGCGCTCAAGACCTCTAATATTATCTGTAAATTTAAGATTGACAAGTAAACTACCATAATTAGTGTGTGTGAATAAAGAGAGAGTGTATGGGTGTTTTCCAGCACGGTGCTGGTTTGCAGCTGGAAGAGCTAGACTGCTAAAAACTCCACCACATGTATGCTTGTACATCAAACATTCAGCTCAATAACATTAAGCACAACTAATCTTTGTTAAATCTACAAATGTTGTCTTTTTTGTGCCTGACTGATCTCACTTGAAATGTTTTCACAGTAATCAACCTTAAAAAAAAACAGAATAAACACATCTTTTGTAAAAATGTGACTTTATTTCAACATTTAGTACAAAATTCATAATAATTATCATCAGTTGTGAGGCTTGTCGCCCCAGCCTGATGTCAGTTTGTGTCCGTGTTCAGCTCAGCACCATCTTTACGATGGGCAGTTTCCAGTGGCACCACGTGGAGGAACGGACCTCGCCACCTATATATACAGGGTTTGGATTATCACTCACCATAAAATAACCTATATCACCTACATATAAGACCACTAGTCAATAAATGATGATTAATGATTAGACTAAAGATGGTTACTAAAGCTGATGAGGACTATATTAAAGCAAACACTAAAGATTGTAACTTTATCCATCTTCAGAACACAAATTAAGAATAGTTCTGAAGATGAACATGAGGACGAGTAATAAATAACATAACTTCAATTATTGGGTGAACCTTTTAATTGTTTTATTTATTTATCAATGATTTTTCATTGTTTCTAAAATAATTTTGATTGGTCAATAACATGGCCAGTTATCGATTTATATTTCCATATAGACGGTTTTGTAGTTGTTTTATTTTATTTCTTATATTGTTTTATATTAATGAATTTTTTTTATTTCATTATTACATTTTTAATATTTTGTTTTCTAGTTTTGAGGCCAAATTGGATGGTGAGTGATAATGTTAATTGTAAACCCTGTATATATATCAGTTGTTCCCAGTAATCATTGGTCCAGAAGTCTCTCTGATCCGTCTCAAATAAAATTTTCACAGAGACACATAAAAATATATGGACCTGGATTGGGAACGACTGAGATATATCTTTTTATTTATTTTTTTATTATAGATTTTATTTTAGCATGTAAAAGTGCAAGAATTAGTGCAAAAGCTGGTGTTAAAGTGCAGGAAGAGGCACATACACTATATAAAGGTCCAAATTGTTAAGTGCTTTATCATTTCTTTTTTTTATTTACAAGGAATTTAATTGGAGGTTATGGGGTGATTGGAATGACTAGATCCATCCGTTAAATTAGGACAGTTCTCATCATTCCTCCTTGTTCTCGTCTGAAACATAAACAAAGACCATTTTAAAGCATGAATAGATGAAACAAATAACATGTAAAATGGAAGAACATAAGATTTTGTTTGGTTTCCATTTGTCTGTGTTGAAATGAGTAAGAGAAGTGGTGCTTATGCAAAAAATGGGAGATGGAAACACTAATTTGCTGAATAAACTCTAACTTGGGGGTGATCTGCTCTAACAACTTGATGGAAATTCACCTAACTAACATCATGTTAAGATGAAAATCTGCCTTATGACAGTGTAAGATGGCTAATGTCAAATGAAATCTGCCTTATGACAGTGTAAGATGGCTAATGTCAAATGAAATCTGCCTTATGACAGTGTAAGATGGCTAATGTCAAATGAAATCTGCCTTATGACAGTGTAAGATGGCTAATGTCAAATGAAAGCTGGCTTATGACAGTGTAAGATGGCTAATGTCAAATGAAAGCTGGCTTATGACAGTGTAAGATGGCTAATGTCAAAATGTATTCGATACCCTAATCCACTTATGGGAACTGAGGTTCTGCAGTTCAAGCCGATCCTTTGGGTCCAACTGCAGACAGCCGTGGAAGAAATCGCAGCAGTCTGTGCAGAAAGAAGAAAGAGTTTATACATGCTTGTTTAAATGACATTCAAATTATCCTATACAATCATCTTTAGCCTAAGTGAAGATCTCACCTCTTGACAAGCCTTTAATCCT